AGGGAAGTAAAAGGGCAATTAGTGAGGAAAGGTTTACAGAATTGGTAGGGAAATGGGGAAAAATAAGGACTTCATCAAGGTCTGAAAAGGAACTTACTCTGCAACCAAGGTGACGAGCGGATTTGGAAAACTCGTTTCGGGATGTTCGCCAGCTGCACTGCCCATATCAATATGCGTAAATTTCAAAGGATGGTCGCTGTCGCACCCATGTTCATCCAGTCGAGATGCCTAAAAGAGCTCAGAAATGAGAAATTTATGTAATTGTGCATTCGCAATTTAGGATAAACTCACGAGAAACATACCTATATGTATGATAGTACCAAAGAATGCAATATTAATGACTTACCATGATCATAAATGCCCCCGGACATTGATGACCTCGCAGAGTTTGAGCAGACGGCTTCAGACCAGTTTGACGTATGTGTGCTTGCTCGCACTCCGCCTTATGAAAATCGAAATCCTGAAATATTATAAGTAAAGCCATGCAAGAACACATAAGGAACGAAACTTTCAAACACTTTGTAGCTGTTCATACTTCAAAATAAAATCTCACACGCGTTCAGATGTCGTTTGCATGGTAATTCAAAAAGAAGACGATAAAATCAAAGCGACAGCAACTACTTAAATAATAACTTGCCTCCGGCTGCAACCGACTGATTTCAATAGGCTGACCAAAAGCATCTCCAATATCCTGAACTCGACGAGTCCAACCGCTTTGCTTCGCTGGTCCTAAAGCAGGGAGCAACTAGAATGTGAATTTTTCGAAATATTCGATAGGAAGAGGTACCATTGTCCATAAAGGCAGCATAGTACCCGTACGCTAACACTTCATGCCCAGTTAGGGTAGCGATGGTCATCAAATGAGGATTAACCTCGTTAAGAGCCTGAAAATAGAAAAATACTGAAATTACTTAGTAAGAAAAAAATGTAAGATAGTTGGAAATGTTGGCTTCTTCTTGGATAAAGGGTTACAGAATCTCTTCGTATACCTCCTCCTTAGCTTTAGTCAACGGATCGAGCATTGTGATCCGCCCTTCTGCATCTGTATTGTAGATATGAATTCGCTTTCCACTCCTTGCTGTGAGCACTTCGTCGGTCGTATAGCCATGAGAACCGATGCTGTTTCGAACCATACACATATAACCGACCACCTAAACATGACCTTGCCTATTAGCTGTGACAATCGCCTTCCAGAAATTTAGTCCCGAATTGAGCGCCTTGAGAGCACAAACGCGTTGCATTTCTTAGCCAATTTAAAGATTTTGAATAGTGCTTCGTTGATTATGATCCTAAATCGGTTGCAAACCACAGCCGCCCTGAAGGCAACGATTACTATTATTTGATATTTTGATATGAATGATCCTTTCTAATTTGAGCAGAGTTCGTAGAAAACGTCACACCTCACTTCCTTTGCCGACTGGCTTTTACCACTGTTACTAATTACAACTACCATTTTCCAACTATCAGCTCTCACTGTAAACTACTTTATCAGGAGCCGTATTCAATCCTTCACCCAGGGAGATGCGTCTGGTCTGGCCCTCCTCTGGCTTGATTCTTCCCCAGGTTTGGGAGAGACAAAAAAGGGTTGCGTCATAGGACCTAGCATACCTCTGTTTCTACCTGCCAGACAGTTAGAGCAGCGCGACTACCCTCCACTGATGAAGCACTCTTTTCCCTGAGGGGTCGCGCTGCTCTAACTGTCTGGCAGGTAGAAACACAGAGGTATGGCAGGTCCTATGACGCAAAATTTTTTTGTCTCCCCTCAAAGCTGGGGGAGGATTGAGTCAGAGGTGAGGGATTAGAGGGTGTTCGCCACTTGTGTTGTGTGGTCCGCACTCGACGCGTACCTGTTTGCCGGGGATACTTCTCAGGTGCATATCTACTCTATCACAGATTGGCACAACTCATGGTGAAAATCATGGGTGCAAACCCTCAGAGGCGCAAGGGGAGAAGGAAGTAGGTCAGTGCACGCCCAGTGTTGAGTTATCTGTTAGCCTTGCCCGCTTACTAACTTGTATGGTTCTCTCGCATCAGTGCTCAGTACCTCTCTTACTCGCTGTCACTCTCTATGAGTCATCCACAGTCTGACTGAGAGACCCTTATCTTCTATCTATCTTAGTAGTAAGTAATATTTTCCTATCTTTTCACCACTTTCACTCTCATATTCAGGCTGAGCCACAACACGACCCGTTCTATTCATTATTTACTTGAGCAAAAAATACCTTGATATTCCTCGGCTTCAGCAGCTCCAAAGCTTTGAAAAATCCGGCAACGACGGCACTTCCATATTTATCACGGCACATACCCCACATGTGACCGCCAGTTTTCAGATCAACACCACATAAAATAGATTATTTATTTGAGGCTATGAGAAGTGTGAGAGGATTGCATTGAAAACGATTGATCAGTTTGTGTAGTGAAAACCGGTGAAGTGAAAGAATTACTTGCGCTGCAAAAAAAGCAACCTCAGCCCTCACTGTGAATACATCAGTTAATGGTAATAATTACTGCACATACTCCTCAGATGACTATCGGTTTTAATGTCATAACCACATAAAAACATTTTGTCACGGTAGGAACATAATGTGAATGATTGAGTATGATACTTACTACTAGTGCAAAACGGTCGAAATAAAACCTACCAGTGTCAATTGTAACGCCTTTTCCGACTAGAAAGTAGGTGTTTTCAATGGTTCCTTCGCCGACGTACTCAAGGCGAATGAGACGCGCCTAAATCACGACGTTGAATGAATATGAGTCATATTTAGGGTTGTACTGTCACCTGTTACACAACAAGTAAGGTACAAGCTTCCTCTTTCCTCCACCCCTCCCCCCACAATCGAGGTACCGCCAAAACTGGCTCATGCTCATCTTTCGTTCAAGACTTTGAGAATACCCTCTATGCACACCTAAGAAATTTTCTTACCTGATGGTCTTTTACTGTATTCGCAGCGCGATTGACAGCCGCCATCATAGGATACTCTTTCTTTATCACATCTTGATTATCTGTTATTTCCACAGTGATATCGCCGCTATCGAAAACTGACTGAAACGCAATTACAAACACGTTTTGATAACAGAAAGTGATGTTTCCAGGACAACATGAACAACTATCAACTCCAGAATATATGCCTTACCTTTATATAATCTGCCACCTTAGGCGGTGACATTCGCTCTCCGGTCCAGTTTCTCCAACATCTCGACATACGGTGAATGATGCTTCAAATCCTCCACAGTTCATCTAAGGGTTTACAGAACCGATCTGAAAAACTGTGAAGCTTCAAAAATATGGCTCTAGACCATTCTATGATAAAGGAATCCGAAATACAGATTCTGAAGAGAAAACAAGTTAAGCGGCAATCGCAAAGGGCATTGCAACTAAGAAACATCATCAGACTTATGCGCGAACTTACCGGCAGCAAACCAAGCCTTTCAAACTTGTTTGTCCTCCCTTCTTCACGAACGTTCAAGGTGTGACACGAGGAAAAGCAGCGCCCAGGCGGAACAATTCTGGCATGATAATTCGGATGTTGACCGTCACTCAATCAAGATGATTTGAATCATGCGGATAAGCCAATAATCACATACATAGGCTATTGTTTAAACAAGGTAATCTTTCCACTTGTGTATTTATAATATTATATACTTTGTACTGAAAAATAGCAAAAGATTCTTACCGAAACAGATCCTAGAGCACTAATTAATATCTGCGGAAAAGAGGGACAGACAATGAAACATTAAAGATATCGAGACTATAGATCAAGCTCTGGAGGTAGTTTTGCCTCGAACATTTTGCGGCAAAACGAGCTTCTACGCACTTGCTAAACACTTCCAAAAGCAAAGATAGTCTCTCCCTGCGACTATAGTGGACATCTCTATCTTTCCCACCAGAGGGTTTGCTCCCCAATAATATCTTGAGGAATGCCTTCACTCAGGAATATTTCGGTCGGCCACCCTTTCACAAATGTCTGTGCTTTTTCTTCGCTATTGACCAGCAGGCTCTTCAGATAAGAGAACGGAGCCAAATGTAGATTGAAGATCAAGTGTCCACACATAACACCGCAAATGGACTTTCGAAGATAAATATGCATTAAAAATGAAAGTGTGTGGAAGATCGCTCTCATTGTATGTGCGAGTGGCTAATTAATCCACGTCACCGCAAGTGGGGAGGGATGGGGTAAGGGGGAATCACTTTATCCGATAGACTCGACACCACTTACCAAAATATCATTAAGACTCAGAGATGATGCCATCTATTCGCTGTAGTTTCGGTTTACCACGTTAACGAGTTCTATGATTTTGGTGCAATATTTCCCATTGTGAAAGCTTGAATTTGAATCGCCAACAAATCGATTAAAGCTACTTATTACGATCAACCACACGAGCCGCTTATGCTGTCGTTTCCTCATCTTCACAGCTCTTGTTAGAACGAATCAACGTACAAATCACGTACCAAACAACCCCGCAGTGCCTAACCGTGTTTCAAAACTGACTGACATAGGCGATAAAAATGAGGAAATTATGCTTCGTTGAACTGTATCTCCCTCCTTTTCCTCCCCTTTGAAATGAGCTTCTAATTACACAACTCAGGCCCGTCTGAGAGCAGTAAAGCGTGCAACAGAGACCCAGCAACTGCAATAGCAACAAGCACGGACGTATCGACTTCTACTTCAAACCGACTAAGGAAGGGTCTCAACCATGATGCCTTATACGCGTTCCGTTTGCGTAGGTACATTCCAAGGAAAGACTCACAATTTAACACCATTCCTCGCTGCAGTTTGGAAACGACGCACATCATCAATATCTCTCGTCACAGGGCCTGAAGACGATACAGAGATAAGAACACGTAAGAAACCTATAGAGCTCCGTGACTTTTCACCTCTAAGGCGTGGCAGCTAGTTTGTAGTCGTATCAGTAAATAGAACAAATCTTTTTTCATTCAATTAAGGGACGACTAAATTGCGAGCCGATAATGGGGAATTAAAAAGTTTAATACGGACAACTGTCCTTTTATGTGACGGAATGGATTGTGTCCTTTTAGTTGACAATAATGAGGAAACGCACCAGTTCCAGCGAGAACGAGTCGTCCTGAAGGTATTATTTTCCTATCGACAGGAACTATGTTGGCGGAAGTTAAAGCTCCACGATGCACCTAAAAAGCACCTTGTCAGCTATAGCTCTCAAGAAACAGCCAAAGTTTCCATCTCATAGTTCAAGAAAATCTTTGACACTCAAAAGTAAATTGTTATGAAACTAAGAACCTTCTTTCTTAATATGATTCATCTCCGGATCCGATAGTTACTCTCAATTGATCCAACTTCATTATATTGTAGGTATGGAGACTTTTGTTTCACGAACACTCTATGCAAATGGGAAATCAGTTAGGAAATTTCTGTTCAAAAAAAGAGATAAGATCGTGACGTCGTCATGAAACCCACTTCCGTTCAGTAGTGTTTGTCACAGTATCAAGAGCATCACCTAGATTCCACTTATACGTAAGCACTGTCCTCTATTTTGTAGGTATGTGAAAGTAGAAATTTCACACCTCTGCATACGAATTTTTATACTTTTGCATGATCATGGCAGCTTACTTTATGGCGGAATTTGATAGCACCTTCCACAGACTGAATTTTACCGAAAACTTATTAACGCGCCA